TCAAATAGCAATTTCAGATATGTACATATAATATGCATCATATCATTTAAAAGGTCTTCCAAAATATATATTTTATTTCAATTGTATTTTTTAAAGGCATAATAGCAAAAAGAGAGAAAGTAATAATGTGCTAGGTAGGAGGAAAATTTCTCCCCTGAGCTCTTAGTCTTATTGGCTAAGACTAATTTAATTTAACAATTAAATTGAAACAAGACATATTAACAGGGGGGGAAAATTATACTTATGGAAGTTTCGTAGAAATGGGACATAAAGAAATGACCAAAGCAGTCAGTTTTTATACTTTTTAGACAAAATACAACAAATTTGTAAAGAACTGACAAGATAAAAATGTTTGGGCTTGGGGCAGTACATTAGTAAGGAAGTAATAAGGTTTATTTACACAGGCTTTGTGGTTTTGTGTTGTTGTTTCTTGTCTCTGGTGGTGAGGATGTCTCTCCACCACCTGGAGCAGGGAGAGTATCTTTCATAGGGTGAATTTATTTTCTGCTTTCAGGGAGACTGAGGAGGGTCAGGGTGTCCTTGCACTGGCTATAAAATTAAAGTAAATTTAATTCAAAATAATTAATAAACCAAGATGACATATTTTGGGGTGGCAAATTTTACTCCCCCACAGTCCCACCTTTGAAACTCCCCCAAGAAATGTCTTAGTCCCGAAGCTGGGTTGGTAGATTATTCCATTTCACTGAACCAGTGTCTTAAGTCTTATCAATAGGTCAGTTCAGTCAAACAGTGCTTCATTTTAGGAGGCAACAATACAGGTGAACTCACAAGATGAGGACCATGATGTAAGCAATCAGATATTTAAAAAGAGGCATTTTTATTTTTTTAAAAATTGTTAATGTTTAAAGCAAATTATCAACCAAGTTTTGAGTATTGGCAATAGCCAGTTGAGATTCTAGATGACAGGGTGGAAACATCTTTTGTCGTTTGAAAGTCTCTGATGATGCCCTTGGGTGTTCAAGTAAACTTTCTAAGGGGCTCACACAACAATAGCTATGAAGATTGTCTAACCATGGGCTATTGTGGTGACTTCTCTGAAGTTGGTATTAAGTCATCTAGCTTCATTTTAGGGCTTCAGGAAAAAGAAAGAGTCCTCAATGATTTCAATCAGAAGAGTGGGAGAAAATCAGAAAACTGAGATTGGAGAGTTGTAGAGAGGTATTTGAGGAAACGAGAAGAATTTAGGATCCAGCGCACTTTACAAGAAAACAGCTAAAACCTCAATGACAATGAGTAGAGAACTAGAATCTGATATCTACTATCATATACTATAGTTTATGCTAAAACATAATTTTTTCTCTACAATTACCTCCATTTTTACCAAAGATAACTGGTTTATAAAATAAAACTATTATTTGGTGTCATTATTTACATAAGAGCAGCAGAAATAAAGATTGCTCAGACAAGCTCTTTTAAATTGGCTTTACTGGAACTTTTTATAAGAAATCTCACATGAAACCTTTAACAGCCTCTTGAAGCCCAGAAATACTACCCAAATACTTACCATAAGACTTTGCCTGCAATACCTATAGAATTGGGTGAATTTCTCTCCTCCTGAAGTCTCAAAAATATCTTGAGGTGCCCAGTTTTGTCAGGAAGTAAACTTAATTCACCTGGTAGGAGCACTGGACACCCTATAAGCAAGGTACCAGGCTAATTTTTCCAAGGGGTTTATTTACTCCAAAAAGTCAAACTTGGTTTCTTAAAATTAGCTTATCATTTCGAAGTCTATGTATATTCTCAAATGTGACACTCTAGCCAATGCTTGGCAATACAATCAATGTTTCCAATTGTGTCTTGTTACAAGAACACATTGCTATTGAACTGATGTAAATAACTACACTGTCATGGAAATATAAGAATACTCACTGAAAGTTTCCAAATTCTGAAGGTACCAGCTAGAGAGAAAAAAAAGTTTCAATCCTACTTATATAGATATAATTTACCAAATTGGTGTTATCATAATTAGCTTAGGAAAAAGGATTTCTTTATATCTGGAAATCAAAGATTAAGGAACAGGCAATATTTCAAATAAGAAGTCACAAAATTATAATCATGCTCCTCAGTTCATTTAATAACATTTTATTAATTATTGTTGATATTGATCTTCCTCTTAGCAATTTTATGAAACCATTAGTTTCTCTATTAGTGTCCTGTAAATTCTAACCTAGTTCAGTGGTATGATCAGTAAGTCATTAGAAACATGAATCTCCTTGAAGCTGAAGCACTTTTGTAAAAGCATCAGAGTAAAAGAATAATTGTCAGTAATTGACGAAAGACTCTAAAAAAATGTCTGTTAGAGATTTGATCAAAGTTTGTTATAATGGAATTGACAAGAAAATTTGGTTATTTCTGTGACATTCAATACTTTAAAATAATAACTAGAATTAAAACTAGTAATATTATATTAGGACATATTCTATTTTTTAAAGTTTTATTGATTAATTTAGAGAGAAAGGAATGGGGGTGGAACAGAAATGTTGATTTGTTCCATTTATTTATGCCTTCAATGGTTGTCTCTTGTATGTGCCCTGACCAGGGTTCAAACCCACAGCCTTGGCATATCAAGATGATGCTCTGACCAACTGAGCTACCCAACCAGGGCCTTGCTATATTAGATTTTTAAGAATTTTATATAATTTCTAGAAAACATATTAATAGCATATATCTATACAGACATAGGAAGATTTAGGAACACTTGCTGGACAATACTTTCCATGTAAGTTAACATATCAAATAAGCCTAATACATGAAACATCTGTCTTTTTATAAGGAGAGAGAATAAATCTTTTTATAAGGAGAGAGAACTTCTGAGATATCCCAAAGTTAGTTAAAGGTCAAAAGACTTTATTTTGAATTTAATTTTAGAATATTTGTTAAAATATCAACAACTTTGGATATTTGACTAAATGAAGTCACAGATACTTATGAAACAACACCTAATTATCTATTTAACCAAAGTAACAATAACAGATTTCAAAGTCAAATACAGAATATTATACAACTGTTAGCAAAATTGAGCTCTTTTAATATTGAGAAGATTTAGCTTTCTTAAGTAATGAAAGACCTGATTAAGACAACCTGAAGTACAGAACATTATTTTGGTAAAACAAAATCTTTGCTTTCTGGGTAGCTTTACCAAAAGGCAAAAAAACAAATTCTAAGTTTGCACCAGATTGCCTTTGATAATGAAATTTTTTATGCAATTAAATTAATTACAACCTTGGCCAGTTCAACCACACATTAAATTTTCTTTCTAAGATTCCTTTTCTACAAACCTTTTGGGACATTTTTTTTTTCTTCTTTTATAGTTTGCCTCTCTTTAGGACAAAATAACATTCTTTTCCTTCTTCAAAATTTATTTCTATTTCTTATACAATTTTTTACTGAAAACACACATTCATTTTTTTTTCATTCAAAGTTGTTTTCTTTATTATTTCTGATAGTTTAAATTACATATATTAATTAAAATTTTTAACCCTTAGAAACCTTAATTTCTAAGTAAAACCACATGCAGGCATACCTCACAGATACTGCAAGTTCGGTTCTAGACTATAGTAATAAAGTGAGTATCACAATAAAGCAAGTCATAATCTGTTTGCAGTCTTGCCTTCAATTTGTAAAAAATACACCTGTGAAGTGCAATATAGTGAAGCACAATAAAATGAGGTGTGCCTATAAGTAATTGTGAAATGTCTGTTATACATTTTATTGACAAATTTATGAATGTATTTTATAATTCTAGAGGTATATGCTTCCACATAGTATATATTTTTCATTGTAGCATAAGACATGTATATTTACAGACCTGAATATCTTTAGTTCTGTAACAGGAGGTCAAAGTAGATAAATTTAGACTTAAATGGAAATTAATGTATCAGTATTTTATCTCATTTGGAAATAATACAGACATTTACTGAATTCCCATAATACCATTGAAAGGGATAGAGGTAGGTTAGGCAGTAAGGGATGGGAAGGGAAGGCTGAGACATGTGGGGAGGTTTGCAAGGACTTAGAGCTCAGCACACAGGCAGAACCCAATACACAGTATATCTGGAGGTTTATTCAGACTCTACACATCTCAAAATAAAACTAAAATCAACAGGAAAATTGTGCTTCCAGGGTCAGAACTCCCAGCCCCCATGAATATTACTGACTTATAGAAATGAAAAGTTTATTTTGATTACATATTAGAAGCTCCTGTAAGGAGCACAAGACAATTACATAATAACAACAACAACAAAACAAAACAAAAAAAGTCTGGTTTCAGGCAAGAGGGGAACAGAGATTGATTATATAGTTTCTTTTTCTAGGACTCTGATGGGTTTAAAAATGAATTTTATTTACTGTTCAAAAATATAGTGCTGGCAATTCTGACCTATTCTAATTAATATACCTACTGGTTTCTGGGAGCAATGCAACAGGACTGCTGCAAAACCATAGAGTGTGTTTCTATTGCAGAAAGCCAGGTTACCTTAAAAGGATTAAAGGAAACTAAAATTGGATGTAGAAAATAAACCAAAAGCAAACATAGGGTTGTTCTGAGGGCGTTTTCCCTCCTCCCTACTAATAGTCTGGGAGAAATTGAAATTATCATAAAAAGGGAAGCCACCAAGGCCCTTATAAATACCTGGGCTACTTTATTTGTTTGTAACCACACCCAACTAAGTTGTCTCTTCTCTGGGAGTAAAGCTTCTGTAAAAATGTCAGGAGTAGCTAATCAGTGTGTGTTTTTATGTTTTTTTCTTTTATTGATTTTAGAGAGAGAGGAAGTAAGAGGGAGAGAGAGACAGAAACACTGATGAGAAAGAACATCAATTGGCCACCTCCCACATGCCCCCCACTGGGGATCTGGCCCACAACCTGGGCATGTATCTTGACTGGGAATCGAACCAGTGACCTCTTGGTACATGGGTCAACGCTCAACCACTGAGCCACATAGGCCGGACTTAATGTCTGTTTTTAAATCAGAACCTATCATACTTACCTGGCAGGGGGAACACCATGATCATGAAGGTGGTCATCCCAGGATGAGGCTCAGCCCATTGCACTTTGGGTGTGCTGACCTTTGCCATTTCCCCAAATGTGGGAAATTGAGTTTCATAATTTATGATAGTGGGTGACTGCATTGACACTCTTCCCCTAAAAAATAAAAATAAATAAAAATAAATAAATAAATTAGAACCTATCCACTTCCAACTAGGGAATGTTATAGGACAATATATATATGTTTGCTAATCAAATCTGCCTTAATTCACCTGATAGGGCGAGCTTTTTAAAATCAGGAATGCCCACACATGCTTTTTCCAGAAGGGTAATATGGATTTAGAGTTAGATGACCTAGGGCTAAACCCAGTCAGGTGGGAAACACAAGCTTTGAACTGTATGGATGTTGCCAAGGCAGAATTCCTTGAAAGGACCAACTGGATGATAGCAAGGCTTATATCTACCCCTAGACAAAGGAGCCTCATTGGCAACCCACCTGGGTCCCCTCCTCACTGGGTCTGTCTGTTTTTTTTTAAATAAATGTTGCTCTCACTTACCCCTTTGTTCATGAACTCATTTTTTGATTTTGTGAGACAACAAACCCAGATCCAATCACCACTAGAAATTTGATAACATCAGTCATCATCTTAAATAATGTTTTTAGCTGGAAAATTCTGTAACAGAAATACCTGAATTTACATGAATTATTTGACTAAGAAACCAAGGCAGAAAAAAAGTGGTTTATCTGCAGTATAGAGTTGATAACTCTGAAGCATGCCTATTTATTTAATCTAGCAAACTCAAAGTAGCTTTTGCTTACTCAAATTATCCTAGAATACATGAACTTGAGAATATTCGATTTATAAGCACTTGTTTTTAAGCCAATTAAATGCAGCTCTTTTATAAATCAATTTTAGTAATACCATCCAGAAGTAGTAAAATACCGTATCTATAACATCCATATATAAAACATATAGACAGACAAAACAAAATGTCTTAGCTTTTATTTTAAAATGTTAGCCATGAATAAGGTACATCAAAAAACTCATTGGTTGCCCTGGCCAGTTTGGCTCAGCGGTTAGAGCGTCGGCCTGCGGTCCGGAGAGACGCGGGTTCGGTTCCCGCTAAGGGCACGTACTTCGGTTGCAGTTTGTCCCCGGCCCTGGTGCCAGCCACTCGATGTGTCCCTTCACGTCGATGTTTCTCACTCTCTCTCCCTTCCTCTCTGAACTCATTGGTTTACAAATAATTATGTCTCTGGCAGATGGAATAAGTTAAGGTAACAGTTTGGGCAAGAGAATCTTTTAATAGTTTGTATTTTTAAAAAGGCTTCTTTTTTGTTGTTGTTGTTAGTCTCAGCATACTTTTAATTACCACATGGAGTGTTTGCATTTTAAGAACATGGTCGGATTTATATCTTTGAGGTACAGAAAAAGAATGCAAGTTTTCTCCTATGAGTTTTGGAGTATATTTATTTATCTACTATACAAAGTCTTAGGGAAACGATATTTAAATTTGTTCTTTTTTTTAAGTGCAGGCCAATTGTTTTTTCCAATGTTTTGATATTTACAATATCTGTATATGTATAAAGGAAATAGGAAGAAGTTAGAGTTGATTTTGAGCAACTTTGTTATGCTTTTATTTTTCTAAATATTTTAGAAAGAGAGAAAAGGACTCTCACCACCTTTGCTTCCACTGGACCCCACAGAGATCTGGGAGGCAGACACTGTACGAGTCTTACTTTCTGCTGGCTTTTGTCAGAGGCCGGGGATCTCTTCATCTGCAGCAGTCCTTGCAGCATGCATCAGTGAGGATCCTCAGATGATGCCAACTGTCAGGGAAGGGAAAAAAATTATTCTACTATTCTGGGTTCTTACTGCTGGTTTAAAAATTAAATGGGCGTGAGACAGACTAACAGGGAAAAAATCAAGTTTAATTTTCTATGTACAGATACAGGACCCAAAGAAATGACTAACACAGGCAGCTTGTATACTTTTTAGACAAAGAAACAATAAATTTGTGAAGAATTGACAAGACAGAAATCTGGGCTTAGGATAGTCAATTAGTAAAGAAGTACTAAAGTTGTTTACACAGGCTTCTCAGCCGGAATTCCCTCTCTCTGCCAATAAGGCTAGCTCTTTTCTTCCTCCTGGTGCAGAGAAGGTAACTTTCACACAGATTTTGTTCCTGTTTTCTGGGAGACAGAGAGGAGGAAGTGTCTTGCATGCACTGGCTGTTTCTCAAGAAACTTTAATTCAAAACAATCAATATGCCAAAGTGGCGTATTTGGGGATGGCATATTTTGCTCCCTACAATGTTTTGAAGAATATTTTTAGGTTGAAACAATATGATCAATTCATAATTATGTTACTTAAATCATAAACTTAAGGTCACAAAGCATTTGCTTTATTTCTACATATTGTACCTAATGACTTATAAAAAACAAACATAAAAATCCTGTAGCTATTCTAATCATAGATCCATCCTCAGTTGACTGTGCTTTTTCTTTTATTAACAGTAATTTTTTTTGTTATTTCTTTGGTATCTTAAATGAAAAATGTTTTAATGGGTACTGGAAACTTAGTTTATCTCTTTCTTTAGAATTGACCCCAATGGCATTTTACTAATTTGAGCACCCCTCTATCAACACTTTGAGACTCCCAGTTGCATTAACAAATGAGTACTTCAGACCACCAGTCCTCAAGGTCTTTCAATAATTGTGAAATTCCTATCCATATTGCCACTTATTCCATCACATATATGTATGTGGAGGAAGAAGAAGAAGGAGGAGGAGGAGGAGGAGGAGGAGGAGGAGGAGGAGGAGGAGGAGGAGGAGAAGAAGGAGAAGAAGGAGAAGGAGAAGAAAAGAAGAAGGAGAAGGAGAAGGAGAAGGAGAAGGAGAAGGAGAAGGAGAAGGAGAAGAAACAGCAGCAACAGCAGCAGCTGTTGGAATGAACATTGGTATAAAACATCAATTTTTTATGCCTTTTTATTTCATAGGTTACCTGGTTCTATAGTAAACATTTCAATGACAAAAATGTTTAAATGTTTTCTAAGGAAGAGTACTTTTTGATTGAGGAAAAATAAAGGCTCTAACCATTTGTATTACATTCACATTCTCATAATGAATTACATTGCCCTTTATTTTCTGTAGGACTGTTAGAACTTTAGCATTTAAGTTTTTTTCCTTTCTTGTATGTATTCCTCCACAGCTGTTCTCTTCCACTCTGGATTTGTTAAATAGCTACCAATAAAAGCATTGAAGCTGTTAGGTTCCAGCTCTCTAAATAATAAACATCTCATTAAATATGCGGAAGAAAGAACTTGTAGACCATCTTCTTTCCAACTACAAAGCATCATTTGAATGAACACTAAGAAACGTGATAGATCCAAATTGACATATACATGAAATCAAGCAAGGAGTTTCCTACTACAACAGTATTTCTTGCTTTATTTCTGGTGGCACCATGAAATTTTTCTCTGACCATAGGGTCTGTATATTCTGGAGATCAAAACTATTTTTATAATAACAGTAGTGTTACCTGTCTTTTTGATTCCTTGACACATGCAAAAACCACAGTGGATAAAATTATTGGTACAAATCACACACATGGCACTAAATTGAAATGGTAGTAACTTGCAGAAAAAAAATGGCTATTTTAGTTAAGACAAGCCAGTAGTTGATTAATAAATTAAAATACATCTTCCATAAAAATATTGATCTTCAAAATGTTCTTTGCAACAAAATGAGAGGTGAATTGTAGTTGTTCATATTTCAGCATTTGGCAGACATTTTCTTAAAATGAACAAAGTGAGCATGCTATTCAAGAAAAGCAAATGACAGTATTTATATTCAATGATATAATTTAACATTTTAAGAGAAAATTAAAATGTTGAAAAATGTGTATCTGTCACTATGAGTATCCCAGTTTTTAAAGGTGTTTCTAATTAGATCAGTAGAGATATTAACAGATAAAATTTTCTTTTGATATTTTTTAATGAAAAGGTGTAACCTTTGAAACTACATAATTCAGTGAACCAATATTTCAAATGACAAGTTCATGATGTTCCAAATAATTTATGGGTAAAACATAAAGTAAAAACTACCACAGTGGATTTTAATATAAGAGAGTACTAAAGTTTAATGATAAGCTTTCAGATTCCACACTGCAACTTACTTTTAAGAAATTACCATATGTTGAGTTTAGTACAGTATTATAAAGAATATCCACAATTATCTAAAAAGTCTATTAAAATATTTTCCCTTTTCTCACTATATATTTGTGGGGACTTTGCTTTTCCTCATATATTTCAATTAAAAGAACATATCAAAATTGTCTTCTACTAAAGCCATTGATTTTAAATATTTACATAAGTGTAAATCTATACTACTTATCTCACTAACTTTAAAGTGTTTTGGAAATATAGTCACTTTTGCATTTATAAGAGGTATCAGTTTTTATCAAATTGTAATGGGTCTTAGACTGTTATTATTAAATAAATTAATACTTGAATATTTAATTTAAAAAATAAATATTTCTTATTTTAATTTGGAGATTTTAGTACAGATATACCCACATTAAGGAAAAAGTCTTTTTTTTTTTTTTTTTTTTTTTTTTACCCTCACCCGAGGATATTTTTCCATTTTTTGTACAGATAGAGAGGGAGGGAGAGAGAGGAAGGGAGAGAGAGAGAGAGAAACATCGACGTGAAGGGACACATCGAGTGGCTGCCACCCGCACGACCAACCAGGGCCGGGGATAAACTGCAACCGAAGCACGTGCCCTTAGCGGGAACCGAACCCGGGTCTCTCCGGACCGCAGGCCGACGCTCTAACCGCTGAGCCAAACCGGCCAGGGCGGAAAAAGTCTTTGAGAGTCTCAATAATCTTTGAGACAGAGCAAATATTTTTTGAGTGTCAAGTTGTTTCATTTCTTGATCTAAGCATTCATTATAAAAAATTTATTTTGAGATAAATAATTGAGCTGTACATTTTTTTTTTTTTGCTTTTCCCACCATCACCAACCTGATAACCTTTTCCAAAGAATGCAAAAAGATATGTTTAGTATAGAGTATATATTTCTCTTAAAGAGAAAAATTATCAAATGAGAAAGAAAATATTGTTATAAGTAATATTGATCTTTGGAATTTA